AAGTCTGAAATAAGAGATGTTTGATATGTGTTTGGGATAGATTTGCAATTTAAAAAATTGTTGGCGAACTAAATATTTAGTTCAATCCATGGTTATAAATATCTGTCGATTATCGACGTATCCATATTTCTATGGATTCGACATCGACTTAGCAGTGAATCGACATTTCCTTCATAGTACAAGAAAATCGACAACATATAAAAAATGTCGACAAAATGTCACTGATATATATATATATATATATTAATTATTTTTAACTAATTTAGAAATGAGAAAATATTTATTTGTTAATTTAAATATTTTTTACGATTTTTTTATTTTTCTAACTTTTACAGAAATATCTATCGACATTAACATTTTATCGATATTTTCATCGATATCTCTATGAAATTGAGACTTCGACATTTCCATCGACATCGACATTTAAAACCTTCGTTCAATCTAAAATAATATTAATTAATTTATTAACATATATGTTATATACATTTACAAAATTATTATTTTACAATATTATGTCATTTATGATATATTATATTTTACATTTTACATTTTAACAAAAATAAAATGAGTTTATAACCTATCGAATAAAGAGGTTGTAAGTTCGATCCCCCACCTCACATGTTGCACTAGAAAAACAAAAAATAAATAAACAAAGTCTATATCTTTGCCAACCTAGGCTAGTTTTTTTTTCCTCCTGATTTCTCAAAATCGATGTCTTGTGACTTACGCTAGTGTCATCTCTATGAAACTAACCTGAGTATAGTTCAACTTGCTAAAGACATATATGCTCAATCAATAAAAGCTTGAAGATTCGAATTTGAAAAAAAAAAAAGAAAAACAAAAACAAAAAAGAGCTTATATATATATATATATATTAATTCCTAAGGTCATAGATAATGCAAATATTTTTCATATATTATTTGGTGGGGCTATTTTAGAGGGATGGTAGAGTTTGAAATCAAAGTACAAAACCCAAATAATACCTTTTTTTTTTTCTATTTGGATGATTTTTTCCAAACTTAAAAAAACCATTCTCATAAATTGACACAACACGATCTCTTTTTATATTCTCATACATAAAAAAAAATGATTATGTTTGCTCCCAAGATTTATTTGACCTTTTTGCTGATGAAATCATTCAATTTTATTGGTCTTTTGCCTTCTCCAAAATATAATTATTATTATTCCAAAATTTTGATTATATATATTATATGTAACACCACCACACGCCCCCAAACATAAATTAATTAAAACATGGCTTACGTAATATTTTTTAGTTTGGATTTCTCTATTGATTTAAATACTCACAACCTAATAATTAAAAATATAGAGAGAGAGACACGTACATATTGTGCTCTCCACTTTGTTAGTGAAAAAATAAATAAATAAATAAATATATATATATATCTTTTTAGGTATAACTATTTTATTTTTAGTTTTTAGTTTTTAGATTTTGAAAAATATACTTCTGCCAATTCAATTTTATTAACTGTTCTACTAAATTTATGAATAAAATATTAAATTTTTTTAACTATTTATTTATACTAGTAAATAGTAACTTTTTAATAAAATAGATATAAATAAGAATATATTTATTACTCTTTTCTATTTTTTAAATTCTAAAAATAATTACTAAACCGGTAATTTTTTGCCACAAAGATCTGCATCCCAGATGAGGATTAGATTCACAAAATTGGAGAATGGGATGGGGACGAGGACTAAATATTTCCATAATAATAAGGATAAGAGATGACATACTTAACTCCTACCACCGATGGTTATCACTCTACGTACATTTTTCTCTCTTTAATATATTTCCTCAACTTTCTAACTTTTTTTTTAAAACAGAAAGCAAAAAAATTGTTATCAAACGTTTTTCTATTTTTTAAAATTAAAAAAAAAAACTAAAAACTAAAAATAAAAAATCAAAGACTACAGACATAAATAAGTTCTGTTTGGATGATTATTTTCTAAATTGTTTTTAGGTAAAAGATAATCAGAATCGATTTGATAATGTTTTTCTTGTTTCTCTGGTTTTTAGTTTTTTTTAGAAACATAAGCATTTGGTAATTGTTTTTTTTCTTGTTTCTATTTTTTACAAAATGTTTCCAAAATCGTGAGACATTTCGAAAACAACAAAATTCCATTGTCTTTTTGTTTATGTTTCTTTTTTTGTTTAACAGAGATAAAAGCACTATTGTGCACTTATAAAATGTATAATAAATCTTAAAAAAAACACTAAAATGTAAAAATTTCGAATAGTTAATTTTAAAAAATTAATTTTCATTTAAGACTTTTACCTTTCTTTTAATTTAAAATTGTTGACAACAAGAAACAATAAATGATTATTTCTTTTTCAATAAAAAATAAATAACAAGTAACAGTTACCGAATACTATTCTATTTTATTTTTCTTGTTATTATTAAAAACGAAGAAAGAAACATGAAACAAAAATATTAAGATCTACCCTTCACATATCATAATTTACAAGCCCATGATTTTATAAGAAAGAAAATTTTTAGTTATCCTAAAAAATAGGTCATTAATAATCAAACTAAAAGAAAACAAGTGAATAATTTTGAAAAGAATGCTACTCAAAATTAATATTTATTTTAAAAAATCATTTTTAGAACTATTTTTAAAATAGTCTCTCAAATAAGTCATATCTTACAATTTGTATCATGTCCTCTCATTTGTATACTTCATTCATATGGTTTGTTATGTTGCGTTATAATATAAGATATAGTACTCAAATTATTCATTTATGAGAGTAAATCAAAAATATTTCCATTATTTTATTCGATATTATTGCAATCAAGTGATGGGTCCAAGGTGATGAAATTCTTATTTATGAAAATAATATAATGTTTCAATCTTAGTCACAAAATAAGAATTAAACTTGTACTCCAAAAAAAAAAAGAAAAAAAAAAGAATTAAACTTATTCGGTTAAAAGACACATTTGGCCCTTGTACTTTTACTAAAATAACAATTTACTCCCGAAACTTTAATTTATAATGATTTGGTTCATGTACTTGCAACTTAAAAACAATTTAGCTCATGAACCTTAGCATGTAACAATTTAGTTCTTTATCATTAAAAATCTCATCAAAATTAATTGTCGATTTCTATCCTATAACAATTTAGAATTTGTAATTTATAGACACATTTGATCCCTCATAGGTTTATCGATCTACATATATAAAAAAAAACTTAACAAAAAAATTTTCGATAATGACTAATCATTACAAACTTCAAACTACAGGGACTAAATTGTTATATACTAAAGTTTTAGGACTAAATTGTTATTAATTTGAAATTACATAGCTTAAATCATTATAAACTAATTAGTTCGAAAGCACAGAGACCAAAAGTATTTTTTAACCAAATTAGTAATAGGATTGTGTTAAATTTTATAATTTATGGATTGAAAACGCTTCACAATACAAAGTTTTATATTTGAAAATGTAGTTAGAAATTGGAGCTAAAAATTCTATATAAGGATAAACAGAGGAAAAAAAAAGCATCCATCTCTTAGAGCATCAATATTACTCGTTTTTTGTATGCAATATTTCATTTTTTATCTCTTTTTTTTTCATTTTTGTACTTTAACAAATAGTGAGGGTAAGAGGTTGTCTATTATATAAATTTGGTAAATGATAACAAATTATGCAAAGTGTAAAAAAAAATGGAGTATTTATGGTGAGTTCATTATATGAGTAAATAAGAGAATTGAACCTGAACATAATTTATTAGTTAAGATATTTGTACCTCCAAAAATTATCATCTTTCGATGACGGGAACGGGCCGGGCTCTTGTTCGGCCCAAGTGAAAAGGGCTTCACAAGCAACAAGCTTNCTTTTTTTTTTTTCTTTCGGAGGATAATAAGTTGATTTGCAATTCAAATTTAAGAATATTAAACAATTATATAATTTAACTAATTTCCTTGTTAACATAAATGAATAAAAATAGATTGTCCGATATATTATATACAAAATTAGTAAAGACGAATAAAAGAAATTTACTAGCTATTCATGCTTGAAGCTATGGCTAAAATGGGGTGAGCTTTCGGTTAATGACAAATAATTAGCAAACTTTTCATATACAGCGAAATTGCAAAGGCAAATTACATATAATAACGAAATTAAATCAAAATGTAAGTCTTCCTAACATATTCAAGTGGCTTGCAATTAATATCCTTGATTAGTTTACCAAAATTCATCCAATTCAATTATATTTTATTTATTTAGTATTCAATCTCTTCTTGAAATATTAATTGTCTACATAATGAAAACCTTTAAATATAAAGTGTTAAATTTCAAAAAAATATATTGAATGTAGTATTATGTTGAAATTGTAACAGAAATGTGAGATTGAAAATAAAATAGAACTTAAATAGTCAGGGCCAAATCAAAGCTAAAAGTACAATAACCAAAATAACATTTTAATCTCGAATAAAATTTCAAAGAAGAAAAAAAACTTCGTTTAAATTACAAATTTAGTCCTTAAACTTTCAAGATTGTATCTAATAATAGGTCCTTGAACTTCAAAAATATTTAACAAGTCCCTTAATCTTAAATTTTGTGTCTAATAGATCTATGAACTTTCAATCGTGTCTGACAGACTCTGCCTATAAACATTTTTCAAAATTCACAAGCTTATTAGATATATAATTGAAAGTTAAATATCCTAACCGACACAAAATCCATGTCTCGTAGGTCCGTAAATTTGCAGAAATGTCAACGACCTATTAGACACGAAGTTAAAAACTCAAATTGAAAGTTCAAAAATTTATTAGAGACTATAGGATCCAATTAGACATAAAATTGAAAGTGTAAAACCTATTAGACGCTTTCAAAGTCCAGGGACCTATTAGACATGACCTTTAGAAAACTTGAAGTCTAACCAAAAACCATAATGGAATTTATTAACACAGGATGACTAGAAATATAGTTCCCTCAACAAGATGAAGTTCATGGGAGATACAGCCAGTTTAGATAGGTTTTTAGAATCCAATGGTTCATATTCAGTTCTTCAAGAAATCAAATCCATCAGTTCTAATGATTTGATTCGAAAATCAAATCTAATGGAGACTAGAATCTGGGATTACCACATCTCAGTAAATAAAAAGACCTATTATGTAAGCTTATTGACTGTGAGTAATTACAAAATAAATTAGTTCCAATCAAAGATCTTTTCTTCAACCTAATTCTCCAATCCACAATCCATACATGTGAAGGAACATCAAGAGTAGAGTTGTAAGATGACAAAAAGGCTCAAATAAAAGAAAAAACTTCACCTCACTGTGGGGCAGAAAAGCCTCAAGTAAAAGATTACTTACAGTGCTCTCATAATAGGTCTGATTCTAACAGCATATAGAAGCACTGGTAAGAGCCAAAAGATATAAACCTCTTCAAATATGATTCGGTTTTGTCATGCTTGTTGCTGCTCGTCATCCACGAACTCTTCTCCAATACCTCGTTGTACAAGTCTGTAGTACAAAATACCCATGGTTGCCAGGCATGCCCTGCATATGATCATGAAAAATTCTAATATTAGGAAACCAAATACCACTTGCCTTTCACACATACCACGAGGATAAATTTGGTTATCGCATTAGTCGTTTAAGATTATGGAGTATAATGAAAGAAACTTTGGAAGTATAATGAAAGATATTTTAGAACTCAACGCAACACCGTTGTACAACCTATAAAGCAGATCATATTCAAATAAGGTTGCGAGTAATGAAAGATACTATCATACACGATTGAGAAAAAGGATACCTGCTACCGACATCCTATAACTCATAAATTTTGTAAATCATACTCTTCTATTTTAAAAATGGCTCAATACGTGTAATAAGCCACATGTGTCACTTTCATTAAGAATATCCGTAAAAATTGGAAGCAGGGTTATGCTTTGAATATTTAGTAAACCTTAATTCATTTTTATGGGATAATTATTACCTATAAAATGAATATTACCCCCATGGGACTTCAAGAAAACTCTGACAGTAAAGCATATAATTTTTCGTTCTTCAGAAACTAAGATAATGAGAGAGATTATAGATCCATGAGAATTACATGATTGCTATGACAAGAAGAATTTTTCTCGGATCCATTCTAGAGGGTCTTTGGTGCCGAGCACGAACTTCACTGACATCATTGGCATTTAATGCATCTTTACGCGGAGGTGCAGTCACAGGTAGAGTAGGCAATGCAGTTGACCAAAAAGGAAGTAGTGCTCTAAGAAACTTGTGCCTAAATGGACCTGAAGGCAACAAATTAAATGATAAGAGTGATGACAAAAGTACCACAATAACATGTTAGATGCAGCAAAAATGTGTTGGAAATAAGTAACAAGCCAAGTAATATATCCAAGGAGTTAAGACCTCTAAGCCAGTATGACCAAGAGATCCCAAACCCTTACCAACAGAATCGCCCCTTGGAGGCGAATATTAGGCTTTATGAGCTTGCAACTCATAAAGAACTCCAAGATGAGCTATGGCCCCATCACAGCTTAAAGGGAAGAAAATATATATGATTCAGATGAAAGTTAATGTAATTCAGGGGCTGTTTATTCTATGTTTGCACTGAGATGCCTAGGTATGAAATATCTGAGAATGCTAGAAAAATCAATTTGCCTAGGGTTTAGGGATTGCAACCAACCAATCATTTTTTTGGGTTTCAAATGCTGTTGAGAAGGGAATAACACATTACTAAGGGCATGGTACACCCCCACCCCCCAGCCTGACAATAGTTTGATTACTATCTGAAGTCTGAACACAGGAACAGGTATATGAAATCCAGTCCCCCATGGGAGGAAAAGAGGGAAGCTAATGGCCAATTAGGTGACATGTTATATCAAATGGCGTGTAACTTACCTCTACGAATGTACTTCTTACGGTTACCATCTTCATCATCAGCATAATATGAAATTTCAGAATTTTGCCTGTCGTAATTGACTGCACCTTTTCTTGTAGTAGCAACAGGCTGGATCGCATATGAAAATTGAAAAAAAAAATGATATGAGAACAAACTGAAAGTACGAAAATGAATCATATGTTGCAGACAAATGAAAACAGATATTTATTGCTAGATTGATTAATCTTCTTTTAATGTAACTTCAAAACAGAAGATGTTCTTACGCCTGAAGGACTTGAGCTTTTCACAAAATTCCCTTCCGAACCAGGTATTTCAATCTCTACAATATCTCCAGTGCTTGTTTTGGAAGATCCAGCCACAGTTGTGGCGGATAACCCTTCTTCAGCCATATTCGACTCAGTGTTTGCTATTGAGTTTAATGAGCTCTTATTGTTGTGTGCATCTCCTGAAGATGAAACCAAGGGATCTGAGGCAAAGGCAGGGGGAGGACCACGTGATTCTGTTGCTGATAATCCAACTGGATGATTTCCAAACAAATTCTTTTCCAGACCAGTCTGAACAACAAAAAGAAACATGTCAATAAGGACCATAACATGCTACAATCAGCAACATAAAAACTCCACATGCTCGTTTAGAAATCCTTCATTTGTTCAAATATTCAATTAGGCCTAAGGAAATAGATATGAACTTCCATTAGGAACAACAGAAGTAGAAGACACTAAGCCTACAGCAAGAGATGCAGAAGGATGATCTCAAAACTTCAAAACAATAGAACCAGGAATTGTATGAGACTCAAACATTCTCACTATATTCCTCACAAAAAAATTAATCATGTAATGTCCCGCTGTAAAGACACCATTGGATAATCAAAACAAGGACAATTTAGGTTTGGTTAAAAATAAATTAAATGATCAACTTTTGCTAAATAGTGAACCTTTTGTGTTTAGTTAGATAATTTGTTTTTAACATCCGTGAGTGTCCGGACTAATTTGCACGCACTTCGACTAATCTCATTGTCTTGACCCTACTACATTTAGTTGTCAAGGAAACTTGTAAGGTATTAAATCCTATATAGGTGGCAATCATGGTTTGAACTCATTCTCTCTAAGCTCTTTACAATTTACATGGGGCCCTTATTGACCACTAGGCCAACTCATAATGGTTTAGATAATATCCCATTAAAATTGAATATTTCCTCTCCTATTTCAATATCCATAAGCCACATGTTGAACACCATTAATTAAAGAAGTTCTGAGCCTACAGACAAGAAAGTGTTCTAAAAATTATTTGAATGATTAAGTTTATTCTACCCAAGAAAATAAATTTCTAAGCAAACATCAAAAGTTCTAACTACATCCACCAAAGCTTCAGCATGTAAAGGTTGCTACACGGAGGTAATTGGCATTCTCACTATTGTTTTCACAAATAATGCCTAACTTGATGAGAGGCATTTGTAGACTAACCGTTGTTTTCACGAAGAATGCACCAACTTGATGTGGGGCATCTGAAGAGATTCCTATATTTTGCCACACTCATCCCCTAAAGCACGTAGCCTATGGGAAAACCCTACACGTTTTAGGACATTTATCCTTTCAGATAACCTTATAAAAAAAGAATCATTAAGAACTTCTGTTCTGTAATAAGCTTGTTGTGTAAAGATTTCACAAAAATGTTTCTTGAACTGCCTGGGAACCAAGATTTGGTATCCTGACAGTGGGAGCCTGGAAGTGACCAATTTTAAGAATGAGAGATTGGGGCTGTGGTGGGGGAAGTGCTTTTGTTTCCTCCCTTCCGTGAGAAAGGGAGATTCTTGTGGCAAGCGTGTTTCTTTGCAATTTTGGGGCATTGGTTGGAGAGGAACACCAAAATCTTTAGGAGGTGGAGAGAGATAGGGAGTCTGTTTGAGATCTCATTAGATTTAATGTCTCTTTATGGAACTCTGTTTCTAAGTTTTTTTTGTAATCATCAGCTAGGTTCTATTCTTTTAGATTGGAAGCCCTTTCTTTAGGTTGAACTCCTCTTTCACGACTTTTTGTTTTTTGAATGTCCATATATATGTTTTCTGTTTTCATTAGTCTCAATTAAATTTTCAGTTTCTTATTAAAAAAAAAAAAAAACCAATTTTAAGAATGAGAGCCACCTCTCACTAAGGTGTCTCTGGAACTACAAATTGTAACAACATTATTTTGAAGTCTGGTTAACTTTAGGTTGATTATCAACAGATAGGATGGTAGATGGTAGTCTCTTTTTTTAACCTTCTCTTCAAGGCAGTTCAAGGGGCTCTTAGCCATGACCTTAATTATCCTACTTAGAAGTCCAAAACTCGAGCAAGAGATAATAAAAGGAAAACAGAAGAAGAGCAGTTTCCATTTTCATCTGCTCTGGTTTTGAGAGCAGAAGAATGACGGCCAGTAAAAAAAAAAAAAAAAAAAAAAAAATCAAAATGAGGCGTTCAGTCAGACATCTTAGGCCCCATGCTTAGCTTGCAATGATTTTGATCATTGTTTTGTAATGGTGATACTTCGGCCAGGATATGTGGGGATTTAGGTAGTTTTTTAAAACTGTCTCTTGCTTCCATGAAAAATTGTACGAATCATTATCAAATCAAGCTCAAGAAGAATGCATATTATTGGCTAAGCTACGTTTCTGCTATTTTATAGATGACTCAGAATGAAAGAAAATAATTATTAAGGAGAGTGGTTGGAAATGGAATGAGAGATGTGAGATAAAGTTCGTCTTATTATAATTTTATGGTATCTAATATAAAGTATCCTGTAATTGTCCCAATCGTTTGTAACTCTCTAGTTGCTTAATTGGAGCAATGTGCATCCCCGGGGATGTAGGCACTAGAAGCAAAAACAAAGGAAGCAAACATAGAAATATAGTCACATGAGAATTGAGATAAGCATCACTTCAAAAACTGTACTATCAAGCATGAACCTAACCTGCAAGATAGCTTCCTTCAGCTTTACATGCAGACGAGATCCTGAATCTTTAATATTCTTAGGAGGCCATATCTGCACCAAGAATTTACCTTAAAATAATCAGACATATGAGACAATAGCATATTTCTATTATTCAGACCATATGTACATCAACAAGGGAACTTTATAAAATCGATCATGCAGAAGAAACAACACGACAATGACATGGAGACTTCAAAGGCATATGTGCTGAGATCATATATGAATTTGACTTTAAACAAAAAATAGCATACAGATATACACCATACCGAAATGGAACAGGCGGGGCAGTCATATCCAGCAGGGGCAGTGGATGGAGGAAAGCCCTTGATATGTGAGACCAAGCAATCCGTATGTATAACATCTAACATGAGAACAATGAATTACATAACTACAACATTTCATTTGAGAACCACTCTTCTTAAAATTCGCATGGAAAGAAGGTAAATAAATATCCAAAGTCACATACGTAAACATCCCAATCGAGTAGTTTGAGGACCACTTCCTTCCTCGAGTATAGCATGACACAGGCAGCAATTTGGAGGCCAGTCATAATCACCATTCAATACCCATTCTGAATAGGTACGAACCTTAACGAAAGGATAAGTACGATATTAAAAAAGGAATACATTAACAGAGAAAATTGTTCGTGTGCTAAGTCATTTTGTTGCAGCATCTGAATATAAGGATTAAGGGGTTGTTTAGATGATTTTTGAAATTTGTCTTTTAAAATTTGTTTTGCAAACAATTTTTGAATTGTTCCATATTGTTTTTAATTTCAAAAACATTTGGGAAGATTTGTTTGTTATTGGGTTTTCATCTATATATTTTTTCTTTATAAGAAACCATTTCATTGATGTTATTTTACATATGAATTTTAAAATATAACACATTTATATAAGTTCCACTTTAATCAATAAAGTTGGATACAATATAACAAAACAACCACACTATAATTTGAACAGTACTGAAAAAGTATTTCATAGAAGATGGAAGTAGGAGGAAGAGTCTCAAAAAGAAAAAAAAAATAATTGTTCAGTAACTTCATCAACCAACGAAACTGCTATTTTTGGAGAAGAAAACTGTCATGGCTGTCAGTAATAAATTAGTAATTCCTATGTATTTTCCGACACCAAATGTTGTAGGGTAAGGCGGTTGTCCCGTTACTGTGGGATTAGTCGAGGTGTACGTAAGCTAGCCCGGACACTCACAAATATCAAAAAAATAATAATAATAATAATAAAATATTTTCTAAAAACTCTCTCAACAAATATTATTTTCTGAAACATACTAAATATGCTAAAACATCAAAATAAAACTGTAATTTGATCAGTGCCAAAGAATACTCAACAGAAAATAGTAGGAGGAAGATTTTTTTTTTTTCATAAGAAATGGAAATGTATCAAACGCAAAAGAGGAAACAGCCTAGTGGCAAAGGGCAGAGCTCACCCTCTCCCAAACACTAAACAATGAGAACTTTCCAATGGTTTATAATCATAGTGAGGCTATAGTCACAAAAAACTTCTTATGGATTATACACCACCACGACGAGATGAACACTATCAAAAAACAAATCCACTGATAACTTTTTATCTTCAAAGAGTCTTCTATTCCTTTCTTTCCAAATCAGCCTAAATATTTGACAAGATTTGCCTTAATGAACCAATCAGTAACTGCGCCATACCTACCCAATTCCGTGAAAATAAGTGTGGAATAACTTTTAAATGAAAAATGATGATTCATAATTGTTTCTCCCTAAAAATTAGTATGATTCGCAGCTAATCCATCTGTGTACGCTCATATCATGTGCATTTTTCATAAATAATCCCTTTCTGCACTGTTCACAAAATGTCAAATTTATAAAGGTTCAACCGTGGTAGCTAATTATCCAAATATTTATCAGCTCTCCCTCCATATTGTAAGCGCAGCCAATTACCATCGGAACATACGTGAAAGAGAGAGTAGTATACTACGGAATGCTGATACAGATTGAAATAAGCCGCAATAAACTCATGCAATATAAGATTGAAAAACAAACAGTATTTTCTTGACTAAGCTTACCACGCATATTTGGTGTTCTGGAAAACAAATGCATTCTCCACATACGGGAACCTTATGCACATAACAGTACAACTTCGTGGCCTGAGGCACCAAAAAGAAAAAAGAAAAGTACTCTTAAATTCATTATTTTATCATCATACACAATAGTAAATTATAGCAACAGTAGGGAATCGAAATTCAATTAAAAGAAACGATAAATGAATCAAAAACATCGCAAATTCAACTTCAACATTTCCTAGATCCGAATAATAATGGACTTCCAAGTTCCCAGAAAATGCAAGGAGAATTAAAAACATTCCCCGCATAAATGAGCTTATAATTCCGCAATTCTTCAGAAATCAAATACGCAAACAGTCAGATCGGTTCCGATTCCAACTTCCAAACTCTCAAACCCGGATCCGATCCCAAATTCCAACGAAATGACATCAATCAATCCCCCCATCAAAATCCAAAAAATTCCTGGCGAACGGCTTAGCAACAGAAAAGACAGGAAGAGGGGGAGAGTTGTAGTACCTTGCGGCATTTGCAGACCACCATTGCAGTGACCGGCGCGGAGGCGAAATGAAGTTGGACCGACTCGTATGGGATATACAATGGCGAAATTAACAATTCAACGACATGGATATAGATCTCCGAAGCTCTGTATCCGTAGAAAAACGATGAATCGCCTTCAGCTCTCTCTCAATCTCTCTCTGAAGAACAACAAAACCCCCCCACCGTACTCCGTTTATGGCAATTGGCGTGTGTTTTTTCCTTCGCCGATCCCTTCCCTACAGTTTCCTCTTCTCTCTCTTTTTCCTCTTTTTTTTTCAATTTAATTTTGGGAATTAGAGATTTTTTTACCACCATTTTTTTAGTACAACGATTTTATCGACAGGGACATCCAACATCCAAACATCCAACTTGAGAGAGAATAAGTACATGTCAATTATCGGTTAGTTATATTTATGTTGATATATATTTTTATTATCCTATTTTTTGTTTGGTTTTTGTTTTAATTACAACAAGATGTAGGTAAAGATTCAAATCTATAATGTTTTGATTGAGATATATGTCTTGACCGTATATGATTTGGTTGAAGATATTAAATATTTGTTGATCTACATTTTTATATATTCATGACTTCAATGTCGATATGAGAAGTGAATCGACAGTTTATAGTAAAGTAAAAAAAAATTTAACATAATATAAAAATTATCAACAAAGTATCGGTAATATCAACATAATATTAATATTAATAATTTTTAACTTAAATTTTTATTTATTGATTTAAATATTTCATCTTTTCTAAATTTTTTTAAAAGATATATATTGATATCCATATTTTATTGATAGTCGCATGAAATTGAATTTCTATCAACCTCAAAATTTAAAACCTTCCTAATATTTTGATATTTTTTCAATTTAATCTTCAAATTACACATTTTTGGTCGATAAATATTAAAATGCAATGGAATAATTCAGTCAATTACCATAAGTTTATATAAAAACTTAGACTATCTAAAAGAATACATGTAAAAATTTTTGCCAACTTCAAACTTTAATCTCATAATCTCATATATGACAAAATTCGTCCCTAAACTTCTACCAAATTACTAAGTATTATAGTTTGAACATTTGTAAATGGCATAACTAAAAAATGTTAAAATATTAAGGATAAGTTGAAAAACTATCCAAACTTTACAATAACATGTATTCCACCCTAAATTTATTTAAATTATTCATTTAGTAATTTTCAGAAGGAAATAAATTATTTTTAATCTATACTTGACAATTTGGGAAATTTTCACCAATTCATCAAACACATATACTTCCAACCACAAAGGTGTGAGTTCGAATCTCATCCCCAACATGTTGTACTAAAAAAAAAGTATTAATTACATCACTTACCCAACTGATAAATGGACAAATTGAATCCGTAAAAATTGAAGTTTCCAAGATTGCATAAGTAACTATTACAATAGTACTAAAAAAACTGGTTTTTATGTGTTTACATTGAAAATAAATTGATTGATTTATCTTATTATTGGCGTGTTAAAAAAATAACAATGGTTTTATTTCGAGTAACATTTAATATGTAAATCGTACTAAAAATCCATTTAATATGTAAATCTGCAATATTTTTAATGAATCAGGTTAATGAAGTAAATTATTTATCTTTTTTTTTTACAATAGTAATTTATTTATCTTATACAATATGTAACTTTACTTTTAAGAAAATATGAATCTATATTTTTTTTTGGAGAAAAAATACATTGATGACATGTGAGTTATAGTTTTGAATCAACACCCAAATTGTTATCTCAAATATATTATTTTGCTTTGATCTATTTTATCTAATTGAGATTCCAATAATCTCAATTAGAATTGTTTAAATTTATCTTTGAAACAATTTTTTTTCAGTATTGTCATGTGGGAGAGGAACAGGAACATTTCGAACTCACGACTTTCAAAAGATTGGCTGAAATAATTACTTAGTATAATTAATATATTATATTATTTACCTCTGATTTTATTCTTCTTATAAATAAATGTCAACAATAGTCTATATCTGCAAACAAAAATTGCTTTTCGAATGTGTTCAATTTCATCTAATCATCCTTAATTTTCAAGGATAATAAAACTTTGATTAATAAAAATTCAATATATTAAAAAACAAAGGGCTTAAAAACTAGTTTTGCCAAAAAAAAAAAAAAAAAAAAAAAAAAATCCCCACGCCAAAGGAACACTCTCTAGACATAACATATTCTATAGTCGACGTTGTAAATTATTTATGGTATATGCATACTTTGTTGAAGTTTACCCATATCATTCTCCATCTTGCGCTCTTTTATTCCAAACTGTTGATGCAATTTTTGGGACACTCGATCAGACCAAAAAGCTAGTTCAAATGACCGAGCTAATAGACCATCGAGTGTTTAGGAAAGTCAGGCATCGATTGAAGATATTCGAAACATGTAAAGAAAGAGAGGCAAGAAAGATTGCCCACCACACTTCGATGAAATCAGTTGATGAACTTAAGTGAAGAAAAAGGTAGGGAGACGTGTTCAGTCAATTCGACTTACCTCGAAAGACTGTACTTCTTCCTCATTTATAGGGGTTGTTTTACATTATAAAGAGTGTTCATACACGGCCTATGCATAGCATAGCCAAGCATGCGCAGCCAAGCCCTTGTGTGGCCAATGTCTTGCGCAGTTTGTTAAGGACAACGGTATCCCAAGTACCCCGAGTATCTCCACAATGATATGATATTGTCCACTTTAGGCATAGCCCTCACGGCTTTGCTTTTAGTTTTACTCAAAAGRCCTCATATCAATAAAAATCATTGTCCTCTCTTATATACCCATGATCATTCACTTCTCTAGCCAATGTGTAATTTTATTTGTAATCACCTTACAAACCCAACACAGCCAGGTGCTGAAGAACTCTGTAATCTCTTTTCTTCACTTAAGTTCGTTAACTGACTTAATATTAAGTTCATTAACTAACTTAATCATAAGATGGTAGGCAAACACCACACCAATGTTATCTTTCTTGCCACTCTTTCTTTACAAGTTTCGAATATACTCAATCGAGGCCATACTTTCCTAAACACTCGATGATCGATTCACTCAATCATCTAAACTAACTTCTTGGTTTGACCGGGTTTCCCAAAAATTGCATCAACAACTCAACTTTGATTCATTTTGGTGAATGTATAAAAAAGCAATGATTTTGATCCCTTCAATTTCATTTTTACATAATTTCTTTCACTCACAATTTTAACACAACAATTCACTTACTAAATTTATCGAAACGTGACCATAAATTTGTATTAAAGAGTTTCTATTGTGTATAAAATTTTACAAATAGGGATCAAAATATTCACTTTTTAAAAATAGAAAGACCAAAACAAATATTTTAAAAGTACGAGGACAAAAGACAAAATAAATATTTCAAAAATACAAAAACCAAAATTATATATCTAGCCTTGAAAGTTACACAGAATATTATGTGTAAAAATGTTAAAGTGCCAGTTTGAGTTGAAGTGAAACCATCAAGCTGATTTACCAAGCTTTAACTTTTGAAGTATATTACAATGTAGAAATATAGCTCAAATTCATTCAATCAGTTATTTTATCATATTTAGAACCGACATTTTCTCCATTGCCTTTGGGTTTTTCTATAAGCAGACAGCATTCACAATGAATGGAAGTCATCTGAAACATGCCATAGCCAAGACTGGTTAACATGCATTTACAGAAGCAAGAGCAAGATGATACCCGATTATTAGCGCGTGCTCGTCTGTTAAGAGACAAGGTAGCTTTTGATTTTGGCTCGAGTCTTCGAGAGTGGAGAGTAAGGGAGCTCCCTAGTCTCCAGTCTGAATAGAACTCTATCAAAAGGTCTCATTTTCATTAACATCACAAATTCAGCAGAATTGAACATGAACGAGAGAGAGCCTTTCAATGTACTAAAACTATATTAGTTGTGGTCATCATTTATCAAGTGCTTCAGAAGTTTATACCAGAAGTTTCAAGAAAAAAAGAAATAATATAAAAGCTTCCCTGGGGTTGTAGCCATCAAAGAGTAGGGCTATGTAACCTTCTATTTGTACACTTCTAGACTACTTACCTCTGTTTACCTGAACCCAGATGGGGCCGCTTGTGGATTGCCTCCTACTCCTTTCCTCATAGCTCTCGACTGCGCAAGCATCTCGTCATAATTCTGATTTCAGAAGCAAATTATTAGATTTGTGTAATGGAATCAAGAGGATCTTAAAAGAAAATGTGCGAGAGAGAAGAGGTGCATGTAGATATAATCACCCTCTTTTCAAACGCGGAATCCTGCGAGTCAATTATCTTGTCTGCAAGACCGTAGTCAACAGCTTCTTGTGCTTGAAAGTATTTTGGTCGTTGGACATCTTTAGTGATCTCTTCCTTGGGTTTACCGATTCCTTTAGCCAATAGCTCGATGTAATACTCGGTGTTGGCATCGAGTTCCTTGGCCTAAGAAAAGAATGTCCAGAAAATGAGAGGGAGAGTGGCTAAAGCTCTAACAGAGAGATTGAATGATGTGTGTACCTTAATCCACATATCTATGACCGCACCACTTGATCTATTAACTTTTGGAAGATACAGTTTAGCTGCAATTGTAAAAATAATGGTCAAGAAAGAAGGGACCGACACATTTTCGAGCCAGCAAGAAAGCAAGTAATAACGACATAAACCATTCATCTCAGTCTAAATCAACTACTTTATATCAAAAAAGAAAAAGCATCCCAATGGTGTTTCAACATCAAAACCCCAAAAGGAGAATAGTTCAAAAAGAAAGAACACATTTTCCTGGATGGCAAGGAGCATGTGGAATTATGCAAATTGACTAACTATCTTCCACTTTTAAGAGGCGAGGAACATACTGGAGGAGTTAGGCTGAACAGCCCGGTAACCCTTGGTTCCAAGTGATAAAAGCATTGCTGCTTGACCGTATGCCATCCCGCAGTTGACAGTATACACATCTGATTTGCAGTACTACACGGATATTAAAAAAATTAGACTGAAAACATATTGATGGGTAAATTCCAAACAACAAGGTAACTAAATCATAAACTATTCATATGATTTTATTTTGTCAAAATTTTTACTTATCATACAATAATTTAGAAGCTAACTTTGATGAATTAATACGCTATCATCAGTAGGAGATGCCTCGGGGTCCTCTCCTTTTAACTTTCACCTTAGGAGGGCTTTCAACGATACAGAGACAGTTTTTATCCTTCATTCAAAGGGCCATCTTCCATTTGGATTCTGAGAATCATCATGTTCAATCACTCACGTCATTTGGATTATTTTCCCCCATATAAGTCAATTTCCAATCACCATGAGTCCTTTGATAAACCTAAATTGGAGGCTTTTGGTATGATATACAACTGTGATGTGGGGTGTGGGCAGTGTCGAAGAAATATAACCACATGCTCCGGCACTACCATTTTTCTACTAATGTTGAGGTGAGGTTCTTTGCAGATGTTTGGGCTGTCATCAGACCAAAGTTGGGATGGTCCCTCCGAAATAGACGAGATCCTTTTGTAACCCCTGAGGGTAAAAGGAAGTTTTTCATAGCAGCATGCTGGTTTTTTCTGCTAACACAAGGATCTTTCAAGATAGGAATGGTACATGGGGGAAGATATAGCGTATTCTCACTTCAATATCTCCTCTGAACTTTTCTCATCGATTCTTTAATAGATTTTCCTTGCCTTTTTATTACCAGAAACGGGAGCTCTCTGGTAGTTTTGTTTTGCTTCTGTTCCTTTTTGGGCCCCTATGATGGTCAAGGCCTTTTTCAATTTCTGCGGCCTCTTGAACTTATATTCTTCTTAATGAAAAGCGGTTATCAATTAAAACTTAAAAGAAAGAAAAAAGGAGCATGTTTCACGAAATATCAAAGACCAGAATAAGTAACGTTATATAGTTGTTTGATGTAAATTCTCGAACATAAGGGGAAAACTCCAGTTCGGAATGGAACTACTTACAGCCATCATATCTGCTATAGCATATGCTTCAGTTTCAGATCCAACAGTCTCCATCTTCTCATTCTAAATTATCCAGAAGCACCAAATTAACATAAACTGGGTCTTGAATGTTAAATACATAATATGGTCAAAACAGCCCAATTACAACAACGCAATGACGATGGCATGAGGAAACATGATAAATCAGGGATTCAGGAATTATAAATTAATACCTGTGTCCCAGAAGAGTTAATGTAGAGATAAATAGGCTTTGATGGGTTATCATAATCAAGCCACATAAACTGAGCAACAAGAAGCTCAGTCACGGCAGGTACAATCTGCATTGATCCAATAGGAAATACTAGGATATTAAATATAGGAACTGAAAAAATAATGCCCTGAGACTCTTATAAAAAAAAAAAAAAAAAAAAAAAAAAGCCCTGAGACAAATGTTTTTAGATGTCAGAAATGAGTAAAATAAAGAAGATTATAGTGGCTCACTGGCATGCCCAAATAGCATATACGAGCATCTAGGAGCAAAGAAGGCAAATCAGGAGGAGCTGTTCGAGGTCGTCCAGATCCTCTCCCACCCCCACGATACATACTAACGCTCATACTATATTTTGAAGGACCTTTATCATTCATGCCTGATAGACTCCACATTCCTCCATGATTCAAGTAGTTGTGGGATGATGAGATGTTTTCCTGCCAGAGAAACAAGCAATTGCCATGGTTACTAAAACATGACATCAAAGCTTGGTTCCAACTAACAAAGTGAGCTTCAAGCAAAAAGTAAATGACAGTTTTATTTTTCTCTTATTTTCAATTTAGTATGAATTTGTAAATGTATAGAAATTACTCAACCTCAGAGATCAAAAACTAATGAGTAAGAAAATACAACCTCAGTAACTAATTCTGACTGACGTCGGATGGGATTATCTTCTGTCATGAACATGTCCATTTGTGAAGGTGTAAGGCCATAAAGATATTGGGGAGCATTCTTGTAGTTCTCCATCACTATAAAGAAGGAGATATGGAAATTTAGGCGATGACATGGTTTTTTTTTTAAGGATTAAATTCAAGCCATGTGCATAAATAATATTACTGTGACCACTGAAGTCATTACAACATAAATATCATTTTTGTCTCGTTCAAAAAAATATGTATTCGCTAAAAGTTGGAAGATGCACTTTCAATTCCAATATATGTCAGCTGAAATGTAGAATATCAACATAAGACATGTAGATGCACGTTAATAGTAGATAGAATTAGAAATTTAGAATATAAAGAGATAAAATCCCAATGAGTTAACTGTTCAGTGCGGACTTTGAAGCAACACAAGAGATAGCAACATATCATATTTAACTTTTATGACCTTATGACCAGCCTACACCGGGTTAAAAGCATCAAGCATGGTATTATAATGATACATACAAACTAGAACAACTTGGCTCGCCGGATATATATAAAAGCAAGGAATTTCACTTTCATTTTACAGTCAATCAGTAGCTCTGAGCAATCAGTTTCTTGTATTCATGAGAATAGAGCCTCAGTTTAGTATCTCACATCACAAACATTTAGTATTCCCCCTCAATATGTGTTTGATTGATAAGCCTAAACCTAAGAACATCAGTCCAATACAGAATATGCCAAACGTATGGATAAGTAATCTCAGTTCAACAATTCCATCCCCACCCCCACAAATCCTGAGCTGATTGAGCGCGCAAATACTCGAAAACAAGCTAAATTTTACCCTCTCCAACGTCTCAAGCAACCAAAATTCGCAATTAAAAGCCCATCTTCATTCCCTGCACTCCCTTCTCTCATAAACCGAAACACCCACCACAAATCATCAAGAACCCACGAAAACAAAAGGCCAAACGCAAAGAAATTTTCCAAGTTATTAACAGTTCAATTAACTACATCAGAAAACGAAACGAATCAAATAACCCACTCCAGCTCGATTGAATGATTTTGGGCCAGACAATTCTATATCGAAAACTTACAGCCATCTTTAAGATTTTCGCCTCTGAACTTCTTGGGAATATGGTCCATTGACGAATTTTTGGCGGAGGGAGATAGAAAGTATCTACGACATGTAGTTCTTGAACGAGAGGAAGGGAAGGAAAGCTGGGTACCGCAGATGAAGAACGACTTTGAACTGTCGATGGCCAACGACGGCGGAGCAGAGAGATTGGAGAGTGAAGAAGTCGCCATGGAGAAGTTGCAGCAGAGAAACTTCGCCGGATTTTGCCGATAATTTTACAAGGTCGAGCTCTTCTCCTTCTCCGGTCGAGGTCACTCGCTGTTCTGCTAAAGACAAAAACAAAGGGAAAGGAAGAACAACCAAAATTAGACCCAAGTAAGCAATTGAGCCCAAGCCCAATGACCCAAGGCCCGAGGCCCACGCCATTTATAGGGATCTAGAGGGTTCCCATTCAATTTTAAACCATATCGACCTAAACGAATCAAACCGACGTAGATAGGTCAATTTAGTAGACCGACACATGAGTCAAGCTATGTGTTTACGTTTAAGATACTTGTGTCTTAACCAGTTGAACTATGCTTATGTTTTTTTAGTATGAAAGTTCTAAACTACTTAAGAAGATAACTCAAAGAAATTCGAATTAACTCGAACATTTTCGAAGTTGGGACTAATGATTAAGGTGAAAATTTACCCGGAGACCACGTCATCAACAGTTCGAACGAAAGCCACGTGTATAGGCCTCACAAGGTGTGAGTTTGAGAACCAGTTCGGAAGACTCACACAATGAAATTGTTGAACTCGATTGTTTATATTATAACTTGACTGTAATGCTCGAGTAGATAATCGCATGACTACATTCCCCCCTTAACACATGCAATTCACCTAAAATCTTGAAGATAACCATAAATTTGAATTCCAAACATCAACAGTTATCTAAATACTCTATAAATATCCTTAAGTTAAACGAGGAAGGTACGCAATATTTGAGATTGAAATTATTCTTGAATCCATATCGCATGCTATAATGACAAAATCTTTTGAGTGCTAACTCCTTTCTGGTAGGATCCAATCTTCGAGTGTCCTTGGAGATCTTATTATTTTTTATCGAACATTTTCGATAAAAGCATATGGGTTACAAGTACTTTATATATTAATATACTTTATGTATTAATGTGACAAAATATATATGGCGCACTTGCAAATATGGCAAATTCTTTTTCAGAAAAACGGAAATCCAATTATAAAAGTACAAATTTACCCTTTAATATATCTGATATATATCTCTGATATACCACTGATATAATAATAATATACAATTGATTTACTCCTGGTGTAACCATGATATCTACTCAACTTCTAACATGTCTTACCACTGATATGTATGATAACCATTGATTTACCACGCTGATACAACACATATATATATGATAGCTATCTAATTTACCATTGATATAGAAATGACATACCACTGATATAATTATGGTATCTACTAATATAACTTCTTATATGATTATATGATTTACCTTTAATATAACACTGATATATATTTGATATATACTCAATATGCTTCTAATTTACCACTTATATATCTCTGATATAACCATTATATATACTAATATAACTATGATATTAATATAATACTATTATATCCAATTTTTTTTAGATGAAAACAATGGTGCAAAATTTTTTATTTTTTATTTTTGAAATATAAAGTTATTTATGAAAGATTTACGTGGACCATGCACGTCAAAAAATACAAGTTAAATTTTTGATATACTTTATAAATTTAAACCGTTGATATCTCTCATATTTAGTATCTAATTAATATTAATATTGAATAAATAGTAATGATATAGTAATCAACATTATTAATAATATTAGTATATTAATCAACAAATTGAAATTGTAAAAATATAATTTAAACAGCTGATATACCACTAAAAATTAAATATTTGATAAACCTTATATTTAGTATATGAGTTGTAAATATATTTAGTATATCATAAATTAGAAGTATATCAGATATATATATTATATGTATAATACGTATAATTTGATGTATATCAGTGGTATATCTAATAATGTATATCATGAGTACATCTGATACTGTATATTAGGGATACATCGAATGTATATCGGAAGTATATCAAAGTTACATCATATGTAAATTAGATATAGATTGGATGTATATTATATACAAATTTACATCAGATATAGATTCGATGTATGATATACATTAGATGTATATCAAATATAAATCGGATGTATATCTAACATATCAGACATGGATATATATCATATATCATAAGGGTAAAATTGGAATAATAAAAATTCTGAAAATAAAAATTCAAATATTTTACAAAAACTACTGACATTTTATAAAATACATAAAATATTTTTGTTACCCAACTACAATTATATATATATATATATGACTCAAAATCGTTCATTAAAATGTTGACATACAATCGATTGTCAAACCGATAGAAATTACTAGTTTTAAATTTGTATTTTTATCATTATTCTTTTGATATTTACTGATTGTAAAGACTTAATGGGAAAAAAATTTACACACATGAAATTGATACTTTTATAATATTATGGAAAAAATACCAAAAATATTATGGACTAAAAAGAGTATTGAGCTTCTTCTTCTTTTTTTTTTTTTTTCCGGTAAGCATATCAGATGCTATATTTTAAAGTATAAAATAAAATTAAAAATAGTTAAAATACTGCAGTTTTCTAAACGGTGCAAAATTGCGGATAGGAAATTAGCATTTTTTTACCCTTAAATTTTTTACTCTTTTATAAAATTTAAGTTTTTCGGACATTTACTAAAGGTGTGATTACAAAAATACCCTAGGATAGTTCAAGAGTCAAAATGGATTGTTTTCTTTGCACTAGAAAAATTAAAAAATTTTAAAAAATAAATTTGTGGCAGCTGAAAATTTGAAATTTCAGGAAGTATAGGAATTATAATAGTTAATATTTAAGGAAAAAATTATATATATACTTTATTCATTTGTTGAGCATATTATGAACACCGATTAAGATTGAAATTCATACAAAGACACGTCATCTACGGTTCATTTAAGAGTGGAATATGTGTGAAATTTACATGAGTTTGCCGAACTGGTGCATTAAATATCGGAGCGTTCTCGAAGGCTCATTATTTTCAATTGAAAATTTTTCAGTAAAAACAAACACGAATACTCATCTCATGAATAAACAAACCGCATATTTCCGACAACACCTATCGGCCCAATTTTACACGTCTCATATGACATATTGCGCACGACATGTCGGCCGGTTTATGACTTTATGCACAGCTGGCCTAAGTTGAATGCATATCACTGATTTTTTAATTTCAGCAATGATTTGAGGATTTACTTTTCGGAAATTTTCCAATTTTGTTGGAACTTATAAAATCGTTACAATTTAAACTTAATATTTTAATTTGTTTTTATAACAGAGAGCCAAATCCCAAACAAGATTAAAAAAAATAAGAATGGAGCCATAAAATTGGACAATCAAAGGAGAAATAATCAGTCATATATTCCTAGAAATTTTGCAATTATTCTATAAAATTATAAAATGTCTTCTTCTTACGTACCACAGTCTTAATGTGCATTGTTATCTTCGACTTTAGTTGATTAAATTACTTGCACTTAAGTAAAAGATCTTTGCAAGACTTTCAGAAACAAAACAAAACAAAATAGTTTTATCAGGGATTCACATCTTCCAAAAGTTATGATCTTTCGTGACACTTACAAAATATCATAAATGATGAAAAATTTCGTCAGTTTCTGTTTTTTCCTATAAAATCGTTGATCCACCATTTCATGACGATTATTGACTGTCATTGAATAATTTAAAGAAAAAAACAATTTTCGTGTGTCATAATTATAAAAATCCAAGAAGTTAGCATTTTTATTATGAAAAACACGTCCCACAATTTGTGACAGATTTTTTTTTTCCATAACTGTTATAGAAGTCCAAATCTATAGTAGTGGAAGTTCATAAAATTTCCAAGTCATATGAGAAAGTGGAACCCGACCCATGAATATTAATATAAACACCACTCTCCTCAGAGTGCCAAATTTTAGAATACAATTATTATTTCCAGTCCCTGTCCCCTATTTCATTTTCCATGATTTCACAAAATTTCTCACGAAATTTTTCTGGAAATTGGGGCGGGAATTCTAGGGAAAACTCATGATGATTGGTTTCCCATTACTATTTTCTTTTAGGAAATTCTCAATTAAATGTTAACTTCTCATGGAGATTTCTATTTAAATGGTTTAATCTCCCCGTGGATTATTATGAAACTTCAAGCAAAAAATTTATCATATATTAACTATGAAAAAATATTTTAAATTCAAATTAGACTCATTTTAACAAAATATATATGTTATTTCGAAAATACAAAAAAAAAACTAATTACAAATCTAAAACGTAATTTGTGTGGCAATTAATTTTCTAAAGATTAATTATAATTAATTTCATCTTAACAAAAAAAAATTTTTGTTAAACAAAACAAATTAAAATAAGTAGAACGTGCATATAATAAAGTAGTATATGTAAATGTCTCATCTGATCCGATAAGCTTTATAATATTAATTTAATTAAATATGTTCCTAAGAAAAAGGGTAATTAATGGTGATGAGTGTGGGAGTGGCCATTTGACTGACTGCGGCAGAGGGGGAGTGATGACGTGACAAGTGGTGGAACAGCAGGAAACCACGTGGCGTACATTCAATTTGACGGACCAATGAGCGTGAGGCATCTGGTGAATACGACCAATTTGGTTGTCGGTTATGCAAATCATGTGAACACATACACAGCCCCGTGTCACACGCGTCAACCTGGCGAAAGGTAAGCGCGTAGAGGTGACGTAGCCTTGACGGTTGCTCTTACCCATACGACGTCGTGCGGTGGCTCCACATATTCAAATTCCACTCTCACTCCACTCCCCAACTAAATTTTCTTTTTAAAGAGGGAAAAAGAATAACCAATATTAAGTTTTTTCCTTCTATCTATCTGAATACAATATTTTCAACGTATCGAATTCACAAGGGGATTTGAACTCACAACTTCATGATTGGATGTATATGTCAATTATCGCTGAGTTATGCTCGCTTTGACAATTGACATCTACATTTTATTGATATTTTTATTGACATTTTTATAAAATTGAGGGTTTAATATTTGTTCGACGTCTAAAACTTTGTTCACTCCTCATAATTCAAATTTACCAAGATTTTAAAATCTAGCTATTGCTTTTTTTAGTGTTTAAAATTATAATTTGGGCTTGATTTTACCATTT